GGTTGAGAAGTTAGAGGGTTGATATGTTGTGGGGTTGTTAACCAATGTCATAAAACAACATGTGTACTTCTGTTTCATGAGAAGCTGTTCTGTAAGCCTTCACCTGAAGTACAATAAATAAATAAAGTTAAAAAAAAATGCCAGCGTTGTCCAACTCTTCATCATTGGAGTAAATTTTTATGATTTGTGGATTTTTTAATGTATGTATATATTGATGTATCTGTAAAAATCCTCACAACTGGACCAATAAGCAATATGATAAACAGAGAAAAGATTGAAGTTGTCAAGGATTTCATTTTACTTGGATCCACAATCAATGCCCATGGAAGCAGCATCAAGAAATCAGACGACATATTGCATTGGGCAAATCTGCTGCAAACGAGACCTCTTTAAAGTGTTGAAAAACAAGGATGTCACTTTGAGGACTAAGGTGCCCCTGACCCAAGCCGTGGTGTTTTCAGTCACCTCATATGCATGCAAAAACTGAACAGTGAGTAAGGAAGACAAAAGAAGAATTGATGCCTTTGAGTTATGGTGTTGGAGAAGATTATTGAATATACCATGGACTGCCAGATGAACGAACAAATCTGTCTTGGAAGAAGTATAGCCAGAATGCTTCTTAGAAGCAAGGATGGTAAGAAGTACAGCCAGAATGCTCCTTAGAGGCAAGGATGGTAAGACTTCATTGCAAATACTTTGGACATGGTATCAGGAGGGACCCTGGAGAAGGACATTGTCTTAGTTATCTAGTGCTGCTGTAACAGAAATAACACAAGTGGATGGCTTTAACAGAGAATTTTATTTTGTCTTGGTCTACGAGGCTAGAAGTCCGAATTCAGGGTACCAGCTCCAGGGGGAAAGTTTTTTCTCTCTTGGCTCTGGGGGAAGGCCCTTGTTAATCAATCGTCCCCTGGTAGAAGAGCTTCTCAGCGCAGGGACCCCGGGTCCAGAGGACACGCTCCCCTCCTGGTTCTTCATTCTTGGTGGCATGAAGTCCCTCTCCTGTCTGCTTGCTTCTCTCTTATATCTCAGAGGTGGTTGACTCAAGATACAACCTAATCCTGTAGATTGAGTCCTGCCTCATTAACATAACTGCCTCTAATCCTGCCTCATTAACATCATAGAGGCAGGATTTAGAACACGTAGGAAAATCAGATTACAAAATGGACAGCCACACAATACTGGGGATCATGGCCTAGCCAAATTGACACACATTTTTGGGGGACACAATTCAATCCGTAACAGACATGCTTGGTAAAGTGGAGTGTCAGCAAAAAAAAGGATGACCCTCGAAGAGATGGATTGACACAGTGGCTGCAACAATGGGCTCAAGCATAGCAAAGATTGTGAGGATGGTGCAGGACCAGGCAGTGTTTTGTTCTGTTGTACACAGGGTTGCTATGAGTTGGAAGTGACACGACAGCACCTAACAACAAGTTTATATGCAATGTTTCTAACCCCCAAAGATCAGATTTATAGATACTGATAATAAAATGCAATAATAATGAAAACAAAAAAAATTTAGGTATTCAACTTAATGTCAGAACCGACTTACAATGGAGTCAGCGGAACGGAACCCATTGTAAGTCAGGGACTACCTGTAAATGGAAGAATATCCCATGTTCACAGATTGGAAAATTTAATATTGTTCAGATGACAATACTTTGCAAATTGATAAACAGATTCAATGCAATCCCTATCAAAATGCCAATGACATTTCCTTGCGGAAGCAGAAAAACCCATTTCTAAAATTCATATGGGATTTCAAGGGACCCTGAATAGCCAAAACAATATTGGAAAAAGGATAACAAAGTTGTAAGACTAACAATTCCCAATTTCAAAACTTACTATGAAGCTACAGTATTCAAAACAGTGTGGTACTAGAGTGTGTCTGTGACATAAGGTTATAGACATATAGGCTAATGGAATAGAATAGAAAGCCCAGAAATAAACCTTCATATATGGTCAATTGATTTTATTTTATTTTTTAATTCTAGTGAAAATATGCACACCAAAACATCTGCCAATACAACAACTGATCAATTGATGTTTTACAGTGATGCGCAAGACTATTCAATCGGGAAAGGACAGTCTTTTCAACAAATAGTGCTGGGACAACTGGATCTCCACATACAAAGGAATGACGTTGCACCCTTGCCTAACACCATATACAAAATATAACTCAAAATGGATGAAAGTAGGACCATGGTCTTGAGGGACATGTTGGTCAATTGACATAATATAGTTCATAAAGTTTACGTTCTACATGCTAGTTTGATGAATAGTGTCTCAGGGATCTTTAAAGCTTGCGAGCGGCCATCCAAGATACAACTATTGGTCTCTACACATCCAGAAGAAAAAAGAAGGAAACGAAAGAGCCAAACAAGAAACTAGTCTACGGGACTGATAGCCTATATGAAACATAGCCTCATCTACACCGAAACCAGAAGAACTAGGTGGTGCCCGGCTACCACTGACGACTGTTCTGATCAGGGCCACAATAGATGGATCCTGATAGAATGGAAGAAAAATATGGAACAGAACTTCAAATTTTTACAAACAAAACCAGACTTACTGGACTGGCTGAAACTGCAGGACTCCCCAAGACTATTGCCTTGAGATACTCATTATTCACAATAGCCAAAAGGTGGAAACACATATCCATCAACAGATGAATGAATAAACAAAAGGTGGTATATACATACAATGAAATATTATTCAGCCATAAAAAAGAGTGGAATTTTGCTACATACTACAACATGGAAGAACCTTGAAAACATTATGCTAAGTAAAATAAGCCAGAGAAAAAGCACAAATATTGTATGATTCCATTTATATGAAATATTTAGAATAGCCAAATTCAGAGACAGAAAGTAGAATAGTGGCTACTGGGGGCTGGTGTGGGGGAGGGGGAGAAAAGAGGAATGGGGAGTTATTGCTTAATGGGTACAGAGTTTCTGTTTGGGATGATGTAATTCTGAAAATTGATTGTAGCAATGGTCATACAACATTGTAATAAATGCTGCTGAATTGTACACTTATAAATGATTAAAACAGTAAATTTTGTCACGTATTTTACCACAATAAAAGAAAAGTTGGGGGAAAAAACTGGCTGGAGAGAAAATTTCAACGGATGATTATTAGAGAAGGCCCAGATATTAACTGCTGTTGAGTTGGCCTCTGACTTCCTGTGACCCCATGTACAACAGAATGAAATGAGCCATCCCCGTGATTGGGTGCAGGTTGGACTGCTGTGATCCGTAAGGTTTTCATTGGCTGATATTTGGAAGAAGATGACCAGGCCTTTCTTCCTAACCTTAGTCTGGAAGCTCTGCTGAATGCTGTTCAGCATCATACCAATAAGCAAGCCACTACCGACAGTTGGGTGTTGGCTGCACATGAGGTGCATTGGCCAGAACCTGGGTCTCCTGCATGGAAGGCAAGAATTCTACCACCGAATCACCACTGCCCTCCTAGATTTTCAGTTGAATTATAGCAGGTCTTTTAAGACAAGAGAAACACTAGGGTTAAACTTCAGCATGTAAAGAAGAGTCTCCAGATTCTTACAAAGCACTGATAAAACCTGACAAAGATTGTATGATACGAATAAAAATCCTAAATAATGGATTCCAGCAGCATATTAAAGAAGTAGTTCTACCAGAATAGGTATTGGCATGGATGATGCTATTAAGAATAACTACCATAACAAACAAGAGCTCACCCTATGAATAGGTAAAACGGGAAAAATCATTATCTTAGAGATCAAGATGTACAATTCATTCTTGATATGAATTCTTAAAAACAAGGATAGATGGATTCTTTTTCTCTAAATTTTATTTTGTTGTTGGGAATACATACAACAAAACAAACCAATTCAACGGTTTCTACATGTACAGTTTAGTGACATGGATTACAATCTTCGAGTTGTGTGACCATTCTCACTCCCCTTTCCGGAGTTGTTCCTCCCCCATTAGCAAACTCACTGCCCCCTAAGGTTGCTATCTGATCTTTCAAGTTGCTGTTGTCAATTTGATCCCATATAGATGGTTCTTAAAAGAGTATAACGCTCAAGGTTGACCTTTTTTTTACTAGTTAAGCTAAAGTATTGTTTAGTTTTGAGAAGACTGCAGGGGATATTTTTGGTTTAAGGTTTAAAGGTTATCTCTGGGCAATGGTTTCGGAACCCTCTGATAACGGGGTTCTTGATTAACATGACTAAATAATAATAAAGCATAATGCTAAATCAGCCACTGGACAGGATTGAGACATACATTACTCTCACCCTAATTATTTCATACTCTGGATATACTAGTTGGAGCAGTCACACAATAAGAAAAAAGGTATTAATGAGTCAAAACTAACAATTTTTTTTTTTTTTTTTAGTTATGTCAAGAGAATGAACTAAAAGGTATTCTCAGTAAGAATTCAACAAGGTAGCTGGAATCAACAGCTTTCCTTTATGCAGCTAGTTACAAAATGTAACAGGAACAATCCCATTTACAATGCCCAGGAGATAAACTTTTACAACTGTGTGTGACCTAATGATAAAAACATAAAAACTTATTCATATAAAGACCATATGAATAAATGGAAAGATATGTAGCCATGTTTTTGGATAGAAGTCTCTGTATCATGTCTGTTCTTAATTTGATCTGTTTCTTTAACTTGATCGCAATAAAAGTATCAGTTTTTCACCAAGAACCAACCAGACAAGGTAATCTCAAAGTACATATTGGAAAAGACATGCAAAAAAAATCCTGGAAATGAAGGTAAGTTTCTCTGAGCAGCTATTAAAATATAGTATCAGCCTACTACAATGAAAAATCGCACTAGGTGAATAAAAATGATTGTAGAACAGAAATAGATCCAAATTCATGTCGAAATTTAGTACTGATACAGGTGGCATTTCAGGTGATGATGAAACAAATAAATTGAAGTTCAGATGGATCAGAGAATTGTCAAACAAAAGGAACAAAGTTAATAATTTTTCTTATAACTTCAAGTGGGGAAGACATTAGGCAAGACACAAAACTATTTAAAGGTTAATAACTACATCAAAAGTGTAAGACTTTACCTGGTAAAAATGCTATTAACAAGGTAAAAATTGTAATAAAATGGGAAAAATATTTGCAATTTCTAATACAAAGGTGACTTCTTAAATGCTAGAACTCTTAAAAATACAAATGGCTTAACAGATTAAAAAATATTCAGCCGTATTAATAAAAGACAGATTTAAACTTCAGCAAAACACCATTTTTCTCATTAGTTTCACTAGGGTCAAAAAGTTTACTGGCATAAGAAAATAGACCTACTGATACATTGGTTGGTGGGAGTGTTATCAGTAAATCTGGTAATTATCAAAATGCTCCTATCTTTTTGATTCCATTTCTATGAATTTATCTTCTAGATATACTCACTACTGTCCAAAGATAAGGAGGTCATTGCAGGTATTTGGGGGGGCGGGGAGGGGTAGCAGGGAAAGACTAGAAACAAACTTCCCACCGGGGACTATTTAAATAAACTACGTATCTATAGACTGGAATGCTATATAACAAAAAAACCCTGTTGCTGTCGAGTAGATTCCAACTCACAGTGACCCTCTAGGACATAGTAGAACTGCCCCACAGGGTTTCCAAGGAGCCACTGGTGGATTTGAGCTGCTGACCTTTTGGTTGGCAGCCGAGCTCTTAACCACTGTGCCACCAGGGCTCCTGGAATACTATATAGCTCTCATAAAAAATGTAGACTATCAGGTAAAGGTGTATCATTCAGTCTTACAGTATACTCTTATTTGTATAAATATATGGGGTGATATATTTGTGTGCTAAAATATACACAGTATTTTGGAAGAATATAAAAAACGTAACTGGTTGATCCTGGGGGAGCAGATGGGTTGGGTGATCAGGAAATGCAGGGAGACTTCCTTTACAAACTCATCATAGTGTTTGAAATTTTTTAAGAAATGTTTTACTGATTTTTTTTTAACTTAAATAATTCAAAAACTAACTTAGATCCAATGCTCATTTAACTGCTTGAATAGTCTAAAATTTTTCCTTTGCTTGAATGATCAAATGTTTTGAGAACTAGTCAAATGTCATTAATTCAAAACCAAGTTTGAGATTCTTAAATAGTGAAAATTACATATATAAATTTGAAAATGTTTTTCAATTATTATTTTTACTGTGATTTAGGTGAAAGTTTACAGAGCAAATTAGTTTCTCATTAAAAAATTTATACACAAATTGTTTCATGGGGTTGGCTGCAAACCCGCCTTGTGTCAGCACACTCCCCTTTTCCCTTTCTACTCTGGGGGTCACAGAGTCCCTTCATCCAGTTTCCTTGTCCTCTCCCGCCTTCTCGTCTTTGTTGCTGAGCAGGTGTTGCCCATTTGGTCTTGTATACGTTTCTCACGCGTGTTTGTCTTATAGCCCTGCCTAATCTTTGGCTGAAACGTGAACTTCAGAAATGGCTTCAAGTCTGAATTATAAGGGTGTCTGGGGGCCATAGTCTCGGGGGTTCCTCCAGTCTGTGTCAGACCAGTAAGTCTGGTCTTTTTTGTGAATCTGATTATTTGTTCTATTCTTCCGCTCTGTCTGGGACCCTCTATTGTAATCTCAGTCAGAGCAGTTGGTAGTGGTAGCTGGATACCATCTAGTGCTTCTGGTCTCGGGGTCGTGTGGGCTGTGGTTCATGTGTTCCATTAGTCCTTTGGACTAATTGCTCCCTTGGGTCTTTAGGTTTTTTTTTTTTTTTTTTAAACTCTCCTTTGTTCTGGACTAGAAGGGACCGATAATTGTAACTTAGATGGCCGCTTGTAAACTTTTAAGACCCCAGATGCTACTCACCAAAGTAGGATGTGGAACACTGTCTAATCATAAAGTAATTTTAATCAACACTAGGCATAGTGTTTATAGACATGTTTTAATGAAGATTAATTTTAGCATATTTTATATATATATAAATATATGTGAACTTGAGCAGAGTTTGTGTTGAGTTACACAATCCCAAGGACCTGTTTAAAAGGAAAAAAAAAAAATCAAATCTTCTTAGAGCTATTTGTTAGAAGATGAAGGGAAAAAAAGAGGTATTTGTTTGTTAGAAGAAAAAAAAGTGGTTATAATAGTGAAACGGCTTAAGCTTAAAATAAGCAGTAGATCCATTTGTTCCTTTTCATAGGTAGCTTTATTTGGTTTTTAGAAAAATATATACAATAATCCAAACCTCAGTTCTCTTAAATAGTTTTAAATTAGAAGTATGCAAGTGAGAGGCGGAATGTATTTTTACAGTCAGAACATACAATACTGCTTAATAAAGGAGCAGAAAGGAATTTCTGCAGCAAGTCAAAAACATTTACAGGAATGATAAGAACTGAGCAAGAGCAGCTTGTGGCTGGCAGGTTAGCCAGCTCATGACATAGTACTAGAACCAACAACAGTTTGAGCTTTCCTCTAGTTTAAATTTGAGAAGGGAAGTAAAGATTTACATATTCACCTATCCTAAATGTCAGATAAACCTACTGAGTGAATGCCTTGAGTAAAAACATTTGAATTCGGGGGTGGAGGCCCTCGAGGGTGTATGCTAACAAGCTAATTTTGATCAAACCAAAGCTTGCCCTTTCAGTCTAGTATTCAGTTCAATTTAGACATATTATGGGTTATCTGACAGTCACGGTTCGGCTGGCAGCAGATGTAACAAAACATCGGAGTATTTGTTAATGCCATTTATTTTGGATTAGACCCCTGCTTTCTCCTGAACAGTCTTCCTAATGAATTCACAGTATCCACCAGTGTTTGCAAGCTCAGGTCAGGTTGGCAGCCTCCTGCCTGACTGCTACAAAACTTTTAACAAGTTAAGCTGAGAGGCAGTAGGAGTTGCCCTTTTCACCATGCTGTAGTTAGTTACTACAGGAGCCCTGGGGGTGCAACGGTTACACGTTAGGCTAATAGAAAGGTCAGTGGTTCAAACCCACCAGTGGCTCTGAGGGAGAAAAGACCTGGCGATCTGTTCCCTTGAAGATTTCAGCCTAGGACACCCGACAGGGCGGTTCTACACTGTCACATAGGGTCACTATGAATTGGAAATCGACTCAAAACGGCACACACCAACACAGTTATTATAGACCTACTTCTTCAGGAACATACATCTTCCCTCCACGGGTTTTAGGGCTTTTCCAGGAGTCGAAGCCTAATCACTGTGCCAGCCAGAGGCCAGTTTGTCATGGGATTTCCTGGAGTGCTTAAAGGGAACTGGACTGTAGAAGTGACACCAGCAGCCACCTCTTTTCCTCGCTGTACAAATTTGCTAAATAAATAACGCGAGGAGGCAAACGTCATGAGAAACGTCAGGCCGTGACTCAACAAACACTTTTGGGAGAGAGAGGTGATAAGAAATAGGCAGATTAGTAGAAGGGTTGTTGGTTCAGTTAAGAATGAGAGGAGAGAGACCGGTATTTTGTTCTCTGTTCATCTATTTCCTGCTTGGTTTTCTTGATGCAACTAAAGATCTCCTTAAAAAGTGCTTTGTATTCTGGAGGTGTCGCAGCAGTGGGGGAATCGATGGGCTCTGGGGTAACAGAGGCCGGCTCCAAGATTCCAGTGCCGGGCTCAGGCTGGGCCTTCACTCTGGACAGGTCCTTGGCTGCAGCCCTGGAGGTCTGCACAGCCTTGTGTGACCGGGAGTCCTGTTCTTGCTGACACTTCCTCAGCAGCTCTTCGTACTTGACCTTCAGGGCACTGTACTGAGTGTCCACTTCATGCAGAAGGGAGATGCCCCTCTGCTTCACAGCCTTGGCCCTCCTGATGCAGGTCTCCTCATGGCCCTTCACGATGTCACCCCCTGCCAAGCTGCTCAGGACCGTCTCACTGCTGCTGCGCTTGAGAGGCTTTCGAGGTGCTTCTGGCACAGTTAGGAACATCTCCTCCAGTAGGCTCTGGCTGAGCTCTTTGAAAGGGACAATCAGGGAGTCTGGCACCAGCTTCTCAACCCCGTTCACAAAAGGATGCTCCGACTGCAGCATCCGCCGCATCTCTGCTACCTCAGCCTCCAGCTCCAGCGCCCGTGCTTGGTAGGCATCCATGGCCCCCAGCTGCTGTTCTAGCTCACTGTTTTCTTTTAGCACAAGCCCATATTCCTCCTCCATAGTCACTCGCTTCTGCCGCTCCTGGCTCAGCTGGGCCTGTAACACTGTCACTGTTTTTTTCAAGTGCTCATTTTCTTCTTCATCAGGGCTTTGCTGACTTTGCAAGGAAGTTATCTTCTCAGCAAACACATGATCATACACAAAGTGCCTAGGGGGAAAATGTTGAAAGAATATATTACAAAGGTCAAGTGAGAATGAAAAAGACAGACATTTCATGTTTTCAACGAACTGTTTTAAAGGTGCTGTGACACTGATCAGTTTCTAGCTTACTCCCCCACGCTAGCTGTTGCTATTAGGTGCCGTCGAATCGGTTCTGACTCACAGCGACCCTATGTACAACAGAATGAAACACTGCCCAGTCCTGCGCCATCCTCATACGAGGGCAGTAACTAAGATGAAATTGTGTGAGGCTGGTAAACAAACACATGTAAGAAAATAATCTTTGTGAAGTAGCAAACACCCATTCCCAAAGACTAGTAGTGGGACACCTGCTTCAGAAGGAAATTAGAACAGTCCACTGGTTCTCGGCCTTGGCTGCATACTAGAATTACCTGGGTGGTCTTAAAGACATGCATGCCTGGGCCCCACCCCCTCAGATTCTGACCTGGTTGAGCTGTGGCCTGGACACTGGGGTTATGAATCACACTCTCCAGGTGACGAATGATGTGCAGCCAAGGCTGAGAACCATGACTGCAGTGCTTTTTAACCAGAATCTCCTGGGAAGCTTTTCACCCATACCTAGAGATTCTGATAGAGGCCAAGGGGGTCCTTGGTATTTGCATTTTGAGAAACTTCCACAGGTGATTTGATACACTGCCAAGGTCTGAGAGCTACCCTTTCCTGCTCAGAGCTGTAGGCAGCTTGTCACTATATTTCACTGTGTGATTATTTGCTTATCTGCCTCTCCACTGGACTGAAAGCTCCAAGAGGGCAGGACGTCTGTTTTGTTTGCCATGAATTCTTCACGTATGGCATGGCACCTGACATACAACACGCAGTCAATACAAGCTCCTACAGAAAGACTCAATCTCATCACTCTGAATTATAAAGGCATTTATGTAGACCGAAAAAAATCTTGTTCACCTAGATTTTTGTTTTATTGAAATTTCAATTTTTCCTTCACTCTAAAGTGAGATCACAACCCAAAAATCTGTAAAGTGGACCAGAAGCCCTTCACCTTACTTTAAGATTTAATTCATCAAAAGTACTGACATAAATGCTCTCAAGCATCTCTTTAAAAAAATGAGTTTTCACAGAATTTCTAATATCAAACAACTCCATAATTTGTATGTTTAAGTTAAATGGTTTTGTTCAAATCACTGGCAGTGTAAAGGGCCAGGTGGGTTCCTTAAAAAGGGCACTTTTACTCCACTGGAATCCAGAATGCGTCAATGACATGAGAAGCTCCCTGTCTGTAAATGCTACAGAAAGGTAGGGTCTTACTGGCGGAGGTCATACAGCTCTTTCAGACACGAGAAGCTGGGCGTCGCTTTCCGCTGGTCACACTTCCCCTGCTTCCTTCTCCCTTGGCCAGATGACTTCAGCTCCTCCACTTGGCTCTGAAGATGATCAATGTTGGTTTGTAGGCATTCAATTGTTTCAGTCAGACTGTGAGGAACAGACAGAAGCCAATTGCTGCTTGTCACATTAGATTAAGGGGATAAGCAGTGATAGGAGATTAGTTGCTAACCACTCAAACTGGCTTTTCTTAATTGGCAGGCACTTCTATTTAATCTCCATTCTCCATAAAGAATTAAATTAAACCTTACTCCACAGGACCCAAACCCACTACGCCATGTTCTATTCTCGTATATACTAAATAACTCCCCCTCGGGCTTCGTTTGGAGCCCTGGGGGTGCAGTGGTTAAGCGTTTGGCTGCTAACCAAAAGGCTGGCAGTTTGAATCCACCAGGTGCTCCCTGGAAACCCTGTGGGGCAGTTCAGCTCTGTCCTGTAGGGTTTGTGTGAGTCAGAATTGACGTGCCAGCAACGGTTTTTTTTTTTTTTTCAAAGAGCTTCCTTCATGGATTCTAGAAAACTTACCTCAGAATCTTTTGCTGTGAAGCTTTGCTGTCAGCAACTAGTTTTTGATTTGTTTCTTCCAGTTCCCTGGCTGTGACATCTAATTGCTCATAAACCTTTGCATGCTGTTCATTCATCTGCCGTAGAAGCTCCACCTGTTTGGTGAGATACTGTAAGAGAAGACAGTTGTGACCAGGTTACACATGTGACAGAGAAGCTATAACAGGTTTATTTTATGAGAAGAAGAACTTTAAATCTCAATTAAACTACCTGTCTTAATAGGAAGTGAGCACGGGCCATCCTTTATTTTTTAATTTCCCTAATCTTTACCAATATCCATATGTATGATGAGTACATAGTACATAACATTGATACTCAACAGGAAAATCTAAAGTGAGACATGATAATCTCACAAGAGAAAAACATGGAACAAGTGATCGATGTTTAAGCAAAAGTTATCATGTTTAACAGAAGTAAAAAAAAAGCCTAAACTGGAGAATTTTCGATGATTTTCACTTGAAAAAAAAATTAATTTTTTCCTAAGTGAGGGATTCTGGACAAAAAATAGTGAAAAGCATATTGAGTTTATTATAAAGAGATATTTTAGCTTAATACATTTCAAAACCCTTGTTATTTTTAATTCTGTGAGACTGTTATCACCACAAACCTCTTTATTCATGAGAAATCCACCAGATTGTTTTGGTTCTGCTAAAACTCCCTTCTAAATGGCCAAGGATAAAGGGCAATAACCACAATCTTAATGCTTGGTGTTAATTCATCTTGATTCTCTCTCCTCTCCAACTCTACCTTAAGACACTGAAACAGTACATGTTCCAAATAAAATAGTCATAATACTTCTTGGGGTGCAACTAGATAAAAGAAAGTAGGTTTGTGGCATTACCAATGATCAAATGTAATGGATCAAAGACATAACATTAAAAACATTATTCTAGAGGCATTTTATACAACTATACAACTATTTGCAAGGCTAACAGATTTCTTTCAAAGAACAGGCTAAATGATATTCAATGGGCTTTTTTTTTTTAACGGCAGTGTGGTAGAGCTGAATAACACACGTGGCTTTTTTTTCAAACTAGACATCACTGTAAGGCAATGTGTGGAGCAAACAAACACAACCTCTCTTAACTTCAGCTTCTTCATTTAAAACCCTTGGGGCCAGAAGTGTTTTAGAAAACTCTTTGAATTTTAGAAAGACAACACAGTGCATGTGCCTCACACATTATAACACCCCCAGTGGGGTCTGAGCAGCACCCTGTAGTGAAGCATTAGTATTTCTGCATCAAAGAGTACGAATAAAGATTATAAACAGCCTCACATCGGTTTAGGTCAGGATTTACTACCAAATGAATCTGCTGCAAACTTGAGGAGAAAAATCTTGGTTTATCAAGCTTTTGGGGCTTGGAAATAAGGGGTTGTGGACCTATCAGGACTTACCTTCAGGGCTGAAAGGAAACACAGCATGTGTTTATTCTTCACTCTCCTAAGCCTCCCCAGTTTCTCTTGGTCCCTTGGAAATCAACCACTAATTCTCATGGGGGAAGCTTTTTCAGAACTGTGGGAGTATACCGTTAATCCTACCCCCACTGATGAAAATGTGTTCCATCTTTCAGGAAAAATGGAGGGGAAGAAGGATTGAGAACCATAGGAATATATGTAATAGCTGCAGAAATTTTACAAGCTCCTTTATATCAAGTAAATGCTCATTTAAACTGGTATACCAACTGTGTGTAGATACTTTAGGTATCAAGTATTCACTGGGACTGATTTACAACTTAAAAAAAAAAAAGGGCTATGTATAAACCAAACCCAACCCATTGCTGTCCAGTCGATTCTGACTCATAGCATTGCTATAGGACAGGGTAGAACTGCCCCATAGGGTTTTCAAGGAGTGGCTGGTGGATTCGAACTGCTGACCTTCTGGTTAGCAGCCGAGCTCTTTTTGTGTACATTTTTGTTATTTTCTTAGCGGTTACCAAGAATATTACATTTAAGAGCTTGTATTTATAACATCCTAGGATAAGTTGGTACCAACTTAACTTCATTAACATACAAGAAAGTCTATACCTATACAATTTCTTCCCCCTCCCGCCATCTTGTTGTTGTTATCTGTGGTGGTTAAGGGTGTGTGTCAACTTGGCTGGCCCATGATTCTCAGTGGTTTGGCAGTTATGATATAGTTTGGTAGCTGTGTAATAATGTAATCACCCCCATGATGAGATCTGTTATGGGCAGCCAATCAGTTGAAAGTGAGTTTCCTTGGGGGTGTGGCCTGCATCCGATATAGGTGGATTTTCCGGCAAAGCTTATGGGCTCTTGCTTGCTCTGGGTCCTGCAGCTAGCTCCTGTTCATCTGACCTCTGGTTCTTGGGACTCGAGCTAGCAGCTTACTTGCCAATCTTGGGATTTGTGAGCCTCTGCAGCCTGTGAGCAAGAGGCCTGCTGTCTGACCTGCTGATCCTGGGTTCACCAGACCCTACAGCTACATGAGTCAGAAGAAACCTCCAGCCAGACCCATAGAGAAGGAGCCCTGGTGGCACAATGGTTAAGCACTTGGCTGCTAATCAAAAGGGCTGCGGTTCAAACCCACCAGTGGCTCTGCAGGAGAAAAGACCTGGCTATTTGCTCCCATAAAGACTACAGCCTAGGAAACCCAATGGGGCCGTTCTACTCTGCCCTATAGGGTCACTGCAAGTAGGAATCGACTTGATAGCACACAACAACAATCTTTATGGAAGCAGACTGGCAGGCATTTCTTGGTGGGTTTGAACCACTAACCTTCAGTTGCCTGTTTTTTTAGATATAATGTTCAAATTAGAATTGTGGCCAACATAAAGGAAACTAGCCAATATGCAAACAGGTACAAAGAGGCCATTAAAAACTACAGAAAGTTCTCATTTGAGTAAAAAACAAACAGCAACAAAAAAACTGTGATAAAAACACAAAGAAACCATTTAGGAAAAACTTGTGATATTTTGGTCTTAGGGGACTTGGCTTTAAGTACATTCTAAATGATGACAGAGAGCTTATTCTCACATGGTAGGAGTTTAATCTTATTATATTAAATCAAAGCTAATTAGAAAAGCCCTTCACTTCTCTAAGAATCTGTGGTAGGTGACCTACAAAGAAGTCTGACTAAATTATTAAGCAATTTAAAAGAAAAATATTAGATCCCTAAGCAAATACTAATGTAAGGCCAGAGAATCCTAACTCTATGTAGTCCAACACTGTGTTTTAAGGCTTTGTCCCTGAAACTTAAACAAGTTATTGTTTCTCAGACTTTTTTTCTGACTGCAGAAGGAAACAGGTTAGCTTATTTTCCACTACTCATTTAAAAGTCGAGATATACTTCAAACATTCTAGTTTTCTCAATTCAGAATCTTTGATACATGCCTCAAATGAATCTGACTGGACTAAAATTCAAGTGCCAAAAAGAGCTTGAGTACAACAGCATTTACCACTTCACCTCTCTCTATGTGGCCAGCAAGGTAAAGATGACCAGGGACGTCTTAGACTGTGTCTGTAGACTCTGAATAGAGCCTGACTCCTTCTCATGTAGATGGTACTCAGGAAGGTTTGAAGAGAACAGCCTACCATTAAACACCAAATGCAGGACAGAGGCTGATTCTGGGGAAGGCTTCAATGGTAGTTGCCATATTTCATTTCTTTTAAAATGAAACAAATTCGACAAAAATGTCTGTGTTCAATAGAGGTAATGGATACATGGGTGTGTTATTACTTGTACTTTTCTACGTTCAAAATGTCAAATTAAAAAAAAAAAAGGCTTTACTGATCACTTTTACTAGCAACTGAAGAGCAAGTCACTGATAGTGTAGAAATACTCCTATTACCTTTGAAAAACCTCTTTCCCCTGATTAACATAATATATTTTCTCTGTAGGAAATTTAGAAAACACACACAAAAGCATGAATATGAAAATAAAAACCGCCTATAATCCCACTATTAAAAGCTTGGCTTGTTTTTAAAATCTATTTTCCAGTAATTCAAAAGGATTCATATTTTCAGAATCAAGATTCTTTCATTACTACAATTCTTAAAACATGGATAAAGAAAATAAACTATGCAACAATTTATGCTGTCCAAAATATATACTCCCATAATTTTATCCCCTTGGAGCAATCCTGTATCAATGTAGTGCAAGCATTCTTACCACCATTTCACAGCGGAGCAAACAAGATCTCAGGAGGTGATTCACATGCCCGTATTCTCTAGTTATCAGCTACAGAACTTTAACGTGGATCTCCTAACTCTGAGGCCAGGGCTCCTTACCAAACCCAACCCAACCCAACCCATTGCTGTCCTGTCGATTCTGACTCATGGCAGAGCCCATGTGTTATAGAGTAAAATTGCTCCACAGGGTTTTTCTTGGCTGTAATCTTTATGGAGAAGGAGCCCTGGTTGCACAATGGTTAAGCACTTGGCTGCTAACTGAAAGGTCAGTAGTTCGAACCTACCAGCCGCTCTGCAGGAGAAAAGACCTAGCTAATTGCTCCTGTAAAGATTATAGCCTAGGAAACTCAATGGGGCAGTTCTACTCTGCTGTATTGGGTCGCTATAAGTTGGAATCAACTTGACAGCACACAACACCAATCTTTATGCAAGGAGACTGGCAGGCATTTCTTCCGCAGTGCCACTGGGTAGGTTTGAACCACTAACCTTTAGGTTAGTAGTCAAGCATAAACCACTGCACCACTCATGGACCTCAGGGCTCCTTAGACCTCCTTTAAAAAACTCCAGAGGTGGAAACCTAGATTGGGAATTACTGGAAGTGCTTTGTACACTATTTATCCTGTGTGAATCTACTGACTGCGAGACAGAACATCTAGAAAGAACATCGACAAGGAAACAGAGGCCCTCAATGACACTAAAAACCAACTAGGCTTAACAGGTATATATGGAACACTCCACCCCAAAACAGCACAATATACATTCTGCTCCAGTACACATAGGTCCTCTCCAGGAGATACCGCATGTTAGGTTACAGCATGGCTTGAAAATTTTAAGAAGATTAAAAACATACAAAGTATTTTCTATGAGCACAACGGAGTGAAGCTAGAAATCAATAAACAGGAAAAAAAACCCTGCAAATACACAAATACATGGAAACTAAACAACATACAATTAAAACTAA